TGGAGATGCTGGGGCAAACGACACTTCATTTCATAAGCCCTGTATACGGGCCGTGACCTGTACAGGAACCCGTTCCCATATAGGAGATTGGTAAATACCGCCCCTGTTGTGCGACTCTCTGGATGAAGTTATGAAATCTTTTCCATATTGATCTCCTGAGATCTAGGCCGTGAGGATTGTCAGTATCGAGGCTTCTTGAACTCTGATATATCGGAGACAGTTTTTCTGAGCTCAATGTAAGGCTTTAATATATTGGGACCCTCTCATGCAGTGCTTAAATGATCATTTCAACGATATTGGTGTATCCTTTTTCAAAACAGTGCAAATTTTGGTGGAAATGTTCATATATAACTTTTTTTGGGTGAGCGCACAGCACTGAAGACACATCGAAGGCAGTTTTGGAATAGCGCTTCAAGATGCATTTAAATAACTAAGTTCCATCCCGAAAGTCCACGGTCACTGACAACTTTCTCCTTGTAAGTGTTCCCAAAGCATGTATTACTTGAGCCTCCCAGCTTTTGGCTTTCACTCAAGAAATTCTTGAGAACTATCTTCTTTCGCCGTAGTTCCTTCATACGATTGTTAGGCCTTTCTGATTTGTCGTGTTGATTTGTGTGATTTGATCTGATTTGTTGTGTTGAGTTGTGTTGTTGATTAGACTTAGGGCCGCATGCACTAACATGGCCGCGGGGAGGGGATCGCAGCTTAAAAGAAAGCTTCATATTTCGAAACTCCAGATATCTGCATTTCACGCTGTTTACGTGTCCGTAAGTATTCCTACTATCCTTCACTATGAACATGTTGAACAGGAGTGAAAAGCTGTACGAACCGCATTTTCCAGCTTTTGTATGATCCCTGATGATCCCCGGCGCTTTTCTTTAAAGTCATTTTTCTTTCTCCGAAGTTAACGAAAAACTTCCAAAGTTGTGCAGATTATCTAACCCAACAGTGCTAAGCATGTAAGCATAAGAACAAATGATATTTTGAAGTCATGAAATTTTCGATGATCCACAGGTCGGAATTTGGGGTATACCGAAAAATTAATTTTTTCAAAAATTCATTTGTTCTCATCAGCAACATGCTTAGCACTGTTGTGTTAGATGTTCAGTATAACTTTGGAAGGTTTTCGTTAACTTCGGAGAAAGAAAAGTAATTTTGAAGAATAGATGTTCGTCCCTTAGGGATCATCAGGGGATCCTACAAAAAGCTGGAAAATGCGGCTTGTACAGCTTCTTGCTTCTGCTCAATATGTTCATAGTGAAGGATGGTGGGAGTACTTACGGACAGGTGGACAGCGTGAAATCCAGATATCCGAAGCTTCAGGATATGAAGCTTTAATCTGAAGCTGCGGTCCCCTCCCCAGCGGAAATGTTAGTGCGTGCGGCCGTTAGTGTTCTGTTGAATGTAATATGCATAGGAATTTCCTACGCAATAAATAATAATAATAATAACTCTCAAATACCGGTGCTCAACCACTTGACGCTGCGGAAGGCCAAATTGGTGTGTTTGCAGGACAGCTTGATCAAAGAAATAAAAATGCATTGGTCAACTACAAACTTTTCTCAAATCCCAAAATTAGCATTTTGCCTCCGATAAACTACGGCAAGACCTCTGTTTTGCACTTTCGCAACACTAGCGTATCTCTACTATAATAGTGCCGCATTCGGGATAGAACTTGAAACAACTGCTTCAACAGAGCTTACTGTTCCAGCATTCTGATCATATGTGAACATATTAGGTCGTGTCATAAGTTTGCGTTTTCATTGCCCTCTCTCCTTTAAGGAGCGGTTGTCATGCGAAAAGTATCCTTGAAAAAGCTAAGTACTGTAATAATATTTCCAATCCTAGCTGATCTACTTCCATTCCGTAGCTTCCAAAGATGGAAATGTCAAAAGGTAAGGTGCATTTTCGTCACCTGCTTTTCCTCACTGAAAGAAGCATTTGGTTTACTCCAAAAGACCAAGTTACACAGGTATCTGCACTGAAAACTGTTGGACAAATACAAAACTATTGACTAAATTGTATACAACCAAATTGCACCATCTAAGGGCGCGCCATACATAGTCCACTTTCACTTCGCTGTTGATCATAGTCAGTGAAGTGACTAATGGCGAAGGATTAAGCGGGTCAAATGGATCAGTAGGCGCGTGTCCAAAAGATACCATAGGCAGGTGCCAGACTTACCCGGTTCAACCGGTTCAGGCGGTTCACCCTTCCAATAGAGAGTGGCTGAATTGGATGAAACGGTCGCATCGGATAACTCTGTCGCCTATCATGGCTCCCGGATTGCCGCGGACGGAGTCGGGCAAGCGTATCAGCGCTGCGGTTGTCTAATCATGTCCATATTTTCTAGGTGACTTGCGTGGTTTTTAGCCGAATTTGAGTCTTCTATTAAATGTTAGGTTTTCATAGTTTGTAGCTTTTTATGAACCAACATAATCAACACACATCAAGAAATAAGCAATAATTTTCGATGTAGCGCGAGCTTCCACATTGCCGTCATACTTCCAGTTTCATTTCCCAAGGGGCAGCGTGTCTGGTTCCAAAAAATTCATCTGCGCAGCGCCACACATGTTCTCCAAAACCGAAACGAGCACCAACCATACGGTTCTTGAAAAAGCGGGACAAGTCATTTTGGTAGAATGAGATTTGGAGAGTACGTTAGCTGAAGTGCATAGATACCTCTTACAAGAGGTATTTATGCACTATCTATCTTGTTAGTAGATTATGCAGCCCAGTTTTGACAACTTTTGGCCTCTGGGTCATGTTTTGTCCCGCAAGAACTCATGCCCATTTAATTACCAGGGAAATTCTGCGATAGGTATAGGGAAAGTTACGGATGGCATCACCAGGGTTGAGCAAGAGGTCAGGCACAAGTCTTTCCAAAACGACCCCCCCCCCCAGTGAAAGCCCCTAAACGACCCCTCTGCTTCACCTCCAGGACCTCAGGCTGTGATAATTCGAAGAGATCAGCCGTTTTTGGGAGGTTCTTGTTTTTTGGAGGTCTGTAGGTCGACTTTCTGCGATTGCACAGCACACGCAACTTGACGGCAAGTTTTGGATTTTGGATAGCCCTACTTTTAGAGCTATAATTCCCACAGGGGTGTATTGTTTGGCTCCAAATTTGCAGTATTGCAAGAAGAGGCTTTGAGTTCAATACTCATAGCAGAAATGGAGCGATTTTTAGATTTTGAAAACAAGTTAATCGGGTCAGGCGCAACCCCTCAAAAGCTCAGGCGGCCTGACCTTTTGTGGGGTTGCGCCTGACCCGATTAACTTTATCATTGAAGAAGCTTTTTTATTCAAGTTTTATGTGAATCGCTAGCACAACCCTCGAAGATTCCACAGTAAGTGTTTGGACTTAATTCGACTTGTTTCGGCCTTGTGGTAATCCGTGAAGTTGAAGCAGTCATGGCGAAAAACGCGCCGGTCGGAATTTTGGCATTATTTCTTACTCCACTATTTGCAAGCGATACAAAGCGCGATTTCTAGCCTAGACTAGTATGGAACAATACTTTGTTACGAGTACAAAAAAATTGACTTTTCTCAGTTTTGAAAACAAGTTAATCATGTTTGAAAATCACGCTTTTTAGTCGTTGAGAAACACTAGATAATGCAGTAAATAATGGTTTGTAGGGCTCATAGAGGTAATTTGACGCGCTCGGAAATGATACCCATTTCACACGGCAAGCTTCCTTGATGAATTTATAATATGTCAAGGTAGAAGATGAAGATTTGAGTTTTGGCCGAAACTTCGATTGTGGAATCAATCAGTATGCTGTTTAAGACCGTTCATTCCTTCAGTACTGGTGAGGTCGCGATATCCACTAAACTAGCGCTTTTCTTCTTCACCTTAATCGTAGTATCTCCTCAATCGAACGAATTCGATTCCTAAACACGACCCCCCCCCCCCTTTGTCTTACCCCAGTACGGCTTGAGATATACTTGACGATGGGTCGCTATAGCTGACGATAAGACGCTGCCAGCAGCAACGCCTTTTATGCGTATCGATTGACGCCATGCAACGCTGCTGCTTCTGGCTGCTGCAGCGAACGCGATACAGACCCGCTATAGCTGGAGATGCTGCGCTGCTCTGCGCTGCTGCTTGCTGCTCGTAGCTGCTCCTCGCTGCTACGCGATATGAAGCTCACTTTTGGTGAGCTTCTCTCAGCTGCTTCAAGCTGCTAGCGCTGATTTTGCTCGGATTTGCCCGTTTTTAACATCCTTTTGAACTTCTGAAGGATTTTTAGAGCGCTTGTTGCGTTACTGAACTGTGACAAATTTGCAAGACCAAAACGCAAATGCTTCGATAGGAAAATTAACAGAGAATTGACAAAGTGAACGAACAAATAAATATGAAAACCGCACAAAACTTCTGCGAAGAATCAAATTGGATTAACAAAAAATTAGAAAATTTACGATTTAGTGGGATGTTACCAATACACCTCAATACATTAATGGCAGCTATGACCTAGGTCGTTCGGTTTTTGCCTCAAGCACAAATCAAGATTCTATTGCGACACCGCTTAAATAATAGTAATGATTATTTTCTCAGTACTAGTGCAACATTTGGTTTGCAACTGTATGCTTCTTAAAAAGATTTGTTGATGAGAACAGGATGATTTTTTTCGGAACACGTAATCATATTTTTTAGTTTTTGATAGTTCTCAAAACTTACTTTCCTAATGGGCTAAGCTAAGCATAGTAATGGGTAAAGCTACTCGTTCTTGCACCCAAAGCGTACCCAGCGCAGCAGCCACGAGCAGCTAAAGGCAGCGCAGACATCAGCGATTCGCCAACACCCGCTATACCTCTATCGTCAGGTATATCTCAAGCCTACGACTCCCCAGGTCGGGCGCGCCTGACCCCACGCTCAACCCTGGGCATCACCAGACTTGACTGATCCTGCCGCAAGAATTCGCTTTGTGTGTGGAGATAATTCGCTCCATCGTAAGCCTGCGCTTGCGACCACTACACTAACAAGGCGTCGCAAATTGTTTGGTAGAAAAGACTTCCACTTTTCTCAGCGTTGCTTTTAGATACTAGCTTCTAGTAAAGAGATGGCGGACTGTCGCAGTCTTCGCGATTGTCTGCTGGAAAGCATCGATGACTTGGATTTCATTACCAAACAAGTGAGTTTGACTTTTTTTTCGTTCTTATCTCTTGAGTTTCCAATGTTTTCTGCTATTGTCGCTCAGTTTATATGTACCTATGTCTCCTTCGATTGAAGTGAAACGAAGTTCAAGAAGTAGAACTCACCTACCAGCCCTTGAGTTTTAGATATTGGAATCGATGCTGAACCGCGACAAGCATCGGCGTGGAAATGAATCTTTGAATAGCTTGGTAACATTATTCGAACGGCGCATCAACGAAGTGAAAAGCCTGCTTGAAAGAGGTACGTAGTTTTTGTTATAATCTTTCTTTTACTACAGCTTCATTTGCATCTACATAAGTCTCATTAATCCTTGTTAAAGAGTAACCCTTCATTTTTATTTTCGCAAGTTGGAAAGTCTCCAATAGAATAAGTCTTACAGTGCCTGAATTTCGTGCAAGAGAAGATCTGATTCGGCAGCTTGAGAACTGCGTAGGTGAGCGAAATGAGGTCATCGACAAACTAGAAACAAATCTGAAAGTAGCTGAGATGGCACTAACTTCGGCCGTATACCAGGTCAGCTTTCTCTTCCGCATTTTCGCAGTTCGGTGAGGTTCCATGGAACACGTATCGAAAGCACAACTTTGGTACAACTTTTGTAATGTTTCTCCTCGATGGATGTATGGACAGCAGTTTATGCACTTCCTATGTTTGTGTGCTTGCTCAGCCATCCTTTGAAAGCGATATATCAAATTGATCCCAAAATCACCTGCCTCTCTAAGAGTTTATGAGATTCAGGTGCTGCTATTCGCCATAGTCCAATAAAAATAACATTCTGAACCTTTAAGTCTCCTGAAAATGATTGAGAAAGATCCCATCTGAATTTGCCTTTCTTGAAAAGTTGCGCTAACATTTACTGGCTGTCAAGAAAGATCTTGGAGGCTGACAGTTCGGACTGTTTTGCTCTTACCTTCGTTTACGGTATCCTTTCCAGTTGAAGACGACTTCAATCGCGCTAGAGCCTCTGAGTAGGAAATGTCTCACTCTAATGCTGTGGTAGGATTTGTAACGCGTTATTTCAACTATTATCATGCAAATTTTGTTCGATCGTGTGATAGATATGACTACATATTTTTTTGAAGTCGTTGTCAAAACTTGCCATCTGTTTGTTCTCCCGTGTTTTACCGCATTTCACTCTGCGTGCAATAGACAGTTCTTCCGAAACTGCTATTGTACGAAGTCACATATCTTATTACTTTGCATGTACTTTTACGATCAGATAGTATGAAGGGAGAGGCCACGTTCATGGTTCGGTTACAACAAGGACCCTTAGATCGCATCCTTCCTCTGCATATCCGTTATCGCATTGTGGAATGGCTTTAATGTCTTCAAGAATAATTCGAACATTTCTTCTGACAAGGGAAGCATGTTCAGTCAAAGTGGCCCTTTCAGATGGGATGTATACTTACCATATTGAAGGGCATAAGATGGTGTTCCAGACCTGCTTCCTTATCCGTGGAACATTTATGGACGAGGAGTTGAGCGCTTACTGGGGTGCAAGTTGGGAAAAAATAGCCTATTACTTTTTCTAGCTCTTCAATGCAGCTGTGTAATCATCAGGGCACTTTATTTGATAAACACTGTAAGATAAGAAAAATGTGTCACACTCTGTTGCATAATTTGAGGGCTAGTAAGAACTACTCATTGTATCCTAAATGCACATTCAATTTTCTGCTGCAATAAATGCCCATAACTCCTCGCCCATTAACGTTACGCGTTCAAGAAAGGAAGGTCAGTCAGCTTTTTAGCTCTCTAAATATTGTATACATCTCATTCAGAATAGCCGCTTCGACTAAACTTTCCTTGTGAGAGCAGCAAAGTAGTGGCAGCAGAAAACCATCATTGCTTGAACCTGCAGCTAGAATTGGTATAAAGTTTGGCAAACGATGTGCGCAAATGAACAACTATCTCGCGATAGAGCTAGCAGCCGGAATTCATTTTGTTGCGTATCTAGTCCATCTATTCCACACGGGCTTTTTCAACAAGGGAGGGATGGTTAGTGAAAGTGGGTTTCTTAGACGAGATCTTTGTGCTTTGAAGGGCATGGAAGCTCATTCCAGATATGCCTTGCTTATCTGCTGCGATTTTCTGCATGATGAGTAAAAGAGTTTTGGAGCGTAACGACAATCGCACACAAATACATACGATGGAGCCGTTCGTTCTTTCATCTGTGGGCATGGTGATATAATGTTAGTCTGGTTGTCTTGCAAGCAGACTCTCAAGTCCGGGTTCCCTTTCGTATCCCTCGTTTGTCAAATTTGCAAAAAGTTTATACGGAAGCGGGGCAAGATGAGTACAGTGGGAGGATAGAACCTGGGAGCATCTGCCGCAATAGATTTATTCTGGATCGTAGTATGTGCTTCTGCCGGTTTATGTTCCAAAAAATAACTCTTCTCCAAAAAACCTGCAGCACGTAAAGGCAGACATGGACTTAGCGTTTCATGCGCTTCAGAACGACAGATTCCGAAGGAAGGGGCGTGGCGTAACTTTAACTACCTAGCTAAAGTTACGCCCTTCGAACAATTTTTTGATGCTTCCTAATTTTTTGCAGACTTATTTTGAAAAGGGAGTGAGCTGCTTCACTCCCCAAAATTTTTAACACACCACTTCGGGTTTAAAAGTCCAAAAATATTTTAATTATCAACAGATGAAAACTTGCACAATTTCATGGTCCATGTAAGCTCACGAAATTTTTCGAAACCCATTAGTGAGTTGGGGGAAGGGGGCTGGTCGGCCACGGATATGTACAACACGTGATGTGCCGCTGTTGTGGTCTGTTGACAGTCATGTTTTTGGATCCAAAAAAATAAGATGGCTAATGCGTTTGCACTTTCGCTTTCGGAAGTCGTCAGCGATTTTCTCTTTTGCTGATTGGCGGTGATCAGTATGACAAGCATAGTCTTCTTCATTTACTACTGATGGATGGAAATTATCGGTCACCGCAGTATCGTCAGGGAAGGCAAAAAATAGATGATATCTATCCTTTTTAGGCTAATAACAAGATTCACTCCGTGCGGGAATCTGAGGCACATCCGGTAAACAGTGAAGTTGTCATACGCCTTGCCCATCAAATCAGCAAGAATTACTCCGTTTCAGCGCCATTGTATTGGCAGCAAGGTACGTTTGTGCACGTTCGCAACGTTTTGTGCTGGTTTGATGTCACGTTGATGGAAAAACCGTGGTCGCTTTTTGAGCTCCGGATTACATGAGCGGTGGTTTTTGCCGGTTTTGCCTATAACCTTTCCGTGTTCGTGCTTCAAAGGTATACATTCTGGTGCTCAGTGAATACTGGAGGAATAATTTCCATTTGATGTTAGGCCAGAATGCAGAAATGGTTTACTGCGGATAAGTTGGGGGCATTTTGAGGGGTATTGGCTGTCAGATTTTGATTGAAGAACTTTATACATCAAGTATCTGCCATTGGTGGAAGATATTCGCATGTGTAAATTTCTACTCATACGTAATACTTTAATGTATAAATTGTGGCGGTCCCATGATTTCCGTTCGGGGGGGGGGGGGGGAATTTCTTCTCAACGTGTGGGTTAGCCACGCACTTCGAAGAATATTTTGGGATTTTTTCCAAAATTTTTGTGGGCCCACGATCCCGAAATCTCGGAGGAAGGGGACGTGGCGGTAGCCACCCCCGAAAATTTTTTTTACAAGGCTAATATGAATTTTCAAATTTTTTTAGAGTTTATTTTGACTGTTCACAAATACAGACAAGTCACTCGCACATTTTTATATCCCATGTAAGTAAGTTTCAAGACTGCGCACCCCATTTTCATTTTCGACCTCCCTCCCCCCTCTCGGTCTGCCACTGTGTACTATCTTCATCCACGTCTTTTATGCAGAATGTCCGTATTAGGTAGGAGATTTTGTGACAATCAGGTTTAGCAGCTTGTCTGAAAGATGACAGTTCAAACTATTGAAGGCTGAACATGGGGGACACCGTGATCGAAAATCGCCTTTTAATGGCTTTTCTCCCTTATTTTTGCACAGGTGGCTCAATATCTAAAATTTCTACGCTCAGTGATTTGTGGTACTATTGTTGCGACAAGACGAAGTACCCATAGAACGGCTAATGCGATGCGATACGCATTCATCCATGTAGATATTAGGCAACAATCATGAGTTCCTCATACTCTAGTCTCTGATAAAGGCGGATGGTGCCAGTAGATGAACACTGCTTTATGAGCACCCGCCTTTTTTAGGATTAGCCTCTAACTAAGTTTTCTTACTTTGAGTATTCGAACCAATTTTGTTACCACTAAAGTTACAGGCCGTCCGCGCAAGGTGTGTCTGTGCGTCACTCCTCTTTCCCCGTACACTCTTGCCGCTTGTTTTCTAAGCGACTCTCCCAGTCATGAACTATCTTCAGTGGCAACACTCCGAGCACAGCGCGGACGGTCTATACATGACTTTTGGTGGAGTACTTCGGGGAATGTTATTGTCCCACAAAAAAATCGGCGGCGGTTGTTATATTTATGTGCAAAATCTTTTTGTAGGCGATCCGTCTCGACCATTTCCAACAGAGCCCGAATTCCGCGCGTCAGCTTTGGCAGCTCCGAGGACCAATCCGCCTGTCGTCCCCCCTGCTTTCAGTCTGCTTCGGCAGCAACATCCTAGTGCTGTGAGTTTATTATAAAGTGCGGTTCATAATTATACGAACACCTTATATTTTGAAAGTTTTTGAACTTTTTGGAAGAAACTCAAAAAGCCGTTGGTACCATGCGATAGAGCACAGCCGAAAACGGTATATGATCCATAAAAATGGAAATCGATGTCAATCTTAAGAGTGTTTTTGCGCCTAATGCGAATTTTGAGCGGTTCATAATTATACGAACACCTCAAACAAAGGTCCATTTTTCATTCAAGATTGCAATCTTTCAAATCCAAATTTTTTGTAGAGTTACAGTAACAAAGTCTGACATATCTGCTACACACTAAACCCAGTGTAGTTCAAAAAGAGGATCTTTACTTTTTTCGGATTGCTCTAAATGCTTTTGGAGTGATTGCGCTCCAAAAACATTCATTCTTCTGTAGTTCACGCACTCTAATTAGCTTCTACCAAGACTATGAGATAAAATAAGCTCCTTGGATAGGTATTTTGTTTGACTCTTGGAAAATCTATGCGTTTTCGTGCCCCTTTTCAACCAAGTTCCAACCTCACCCTAAAGTTAGCACGATTTCGAGCCTCAAAACTCAGCTTTACTCCCGCGCAAACACTTGATATGAAGCAGCTGCATTGTTTGCATGATGATGTATCCATGTCAAAGCTTTTGGGTTTTTTGTAGAACTGATCTTGAGGCTATGTAGCTACAAACCAAATAAAGGTGTGACTGCAATAGTAAAAACAGTGGTTTTGGTGAAATGACATCTGCGTGGCCGAAACAAACGCTCAATGCTGCTGATTTTTTCTAGCCAAATACACTGTCTTGTGAGCTTCTACATACTATAAGCTTACCTCATTGTAGGGCTTCAGAAGCTGAGTTTAGAGGCTTGAAATCGTGCTTACTCCAGGGTAAGTTTGGAACTTGGCTGAAAAACGGCACGGAAACGCAAAGATTTTCCAAGCGTTAAACAAAAGACCTATCCAAGGAGCTTATTTTATCTCATAACCTTGGTAGAAGCTAATTAGAGTGCGTGAACTACAGAAGAATGGATGTTTTTGGAGTGCAATCACTCCAAAAGCATTTAGAGCCATCTGAAAAAAGTAAAGATCCTTTTTTTGAACTGCACTGGGTTCAGTGTGTAACGGATATTTCAGACTTTGTTACTGTAACTCTGCAAAAAATTTGGACTCGAAAGATTGCACTCGCGAATGAAAAATGGACCTTCGTTTGAGGTGTTCGTATAATTATGAACCGCTCAAAATTCGCATTAGGCGCAAAAACACTCCTAAGATTGACATAGATTTTCATTCTCAGAGATCATATACCGTTTTCGGCTGTGCTCTATCGCATGGTACCAACGGCTTTTTGAGTTTCTTCCAAAAAGTTCAAAAACTTTCAAAATATAAGGTGTTCGTATAATTATGAACCGCACTTTATAAGATGAGACAGATACATTCTGGCAACTAAAAGTTTGTCGAGTACATAAAAATATGCTTACTTGAAGGGTGCTATGGGACGAGTATCATCGCCGATGACAGGAATGCCTCAGATGCCTGTACAAGGGAAAGTATGGAGCCCAAGAACAGGGTTTGTTTGGTTGAATTGAAGATATGGCATATCCGGAAGTTTGGCATTTTTCACTAAGTACCGATTCGCTTTTTGAGTCTCATCAGATCTGACATTTGATCACCGCAGATACGAAGAACCGTATGTCACACGTAGCTTAGGTTTAAAAAAACCTTTTTCGGAGAGACAATTTTTTTTCTGAATGGCGCGACATTTTTTCACTACAAAAACGCCATGTGTCACATGCATTATGTGAGGTTATGGAGACGTCCAACAGTTGTTCAGTCGTGGCTGATGGATTGGAGAGGTTTAGGGTTTCCCTTTGTTAGCTTGACTGAGATTACGAAAGTGTGCGCATCAATCCATTTCAAGTTTTTTTTTTATACAGGAGTCCTGATATCTGCGCACCCATATTATTTTTGGATTGAATCAACTTGCTTACTATACGTCGGATGTTCTTCTTTTAAGCTCTTAGTTTAGATATCAACAAGCCAGTCCATCTTCGCGAGGTCGAGGTGGTGCTCAGTGGAGTGGAAGAGGTGGAGGTCCTGGAGGCGTTTCGCCGTTTCAGAAACGGACCAGCCATATGGGGGAGGTAATTCGCCATAAATTTTCTTGTGGTCATATAATATCATATAATATCGGTTAGTGTTGCAGAACTCTCCTCGTATGGTGTCTCCCACAGTGAATATAAACTTCGTCAGTCCTCCGCCGAGAATGAATCCGCCTCCAGTCAGCAAGGTTGAACAGATGAGCAGTGACAGCAGTTCAAGTTCCAGCAGCGACGATGAAAGTCCGAAATAGCCTATATGAAGAGAGGGAGCAGAGACAAAGCGACAACATTTCAAATGTTCGTTTTGTGTTTTCAACCGTCCTCGAGTGTCTCTTAGTGCTTCTTCGTTGACGCCTGCCTCTGAAACCAGCTGTAATAATCGATAATATTTATGTGACAGCCTCCCATATAATCAAATAGCACTCGTCTTCAGCGGCGTCGTTATTGTCAGGTCCTTGTAGTAGAACGCGATTTTCGCCTTACTCGCGTATCGATTTGAAAACCTGTCAGAATCCATACATTTTGGGAATGTTGCCTTGCCATTACTGAAAAATCTTGCCTGTTCGATAGAAAAACTGCTTTCGATTTCACTCTATGGGGTCGGAGAAGTCAGTGAGCTTAAAATTTGATGAAGCTTCCATTATACGAACGGGTCAGAGCGTTTGAGGAAAGGTCTTTGATCTCTTCGATATTATCTTTTTTGACCACAGCCTCCCCACACTATTAGGTTTTGGTCATCATGCTTTCTTTTTCTCTTTTCGTGGCAATGATCATGGAGAGCTCGTTATCTCTACACTTTTTGCTGTTACTTTTTTGTCCTTGAATGCCAGAAATATTGGACTTTGAATTCACGCGATTGTTGCACTGATTGCCCGCACTGTCTCCGCCCAACCCACGCAGTGCAGCAAATTCTGTCGCATTCTGCTTTTGTTCACTCTTTCTTCTGGAAGTCTCATAGATGGCTGCCCGAAAGTTTTGGTTTGTTTCGGGTTTGTGCTAATACTAAGAGGGAGAAGCGACTATACATCAGATGAGTATTACGCATTTGGTACATTCAAAAGCTTCTCATTTGGTTCTATAGATAAGCTTCCATTTTCCACTTCTCATCCTGCAGTGCTGGCATGTTATTGACAAAGCTGCGTGTGCCACGTGTGTTCTTCTGAGTATATCAAACGATTACGGGTATATTAATACTGCATTGTGTTGCTCTTCAATGCGAGTTGCTAAAATAAATGTTTCATGTTTATATTGCCTGTACTGCCGACTACTCCAGTCTCTGCATCCGTACAATATATTATAATATATTTAATTTTGTACAGTACTCCAATGCCGCCGATCACCACATTACCTAGCGGAGAAGCATCGCATCTGAAGGAAACCTTTGATTCAGAACTTCCTGAACAAGATGGATTCGAATCACACCTTTTCACAGTAAGTACTTGTATCTGCTTATAATTGCGTTGCTATTAACTCAAGTAAGTTCTATTTCTAAAAAATTCTGGCAAAGCTATCGTGTGTTCTTTTGCTGCCATTGAGTTTATCTGGCATCAAAAATCGGCTACGTCATGCGTGCAACACATTCGCACAGTTTTTGCCGTCTTTGTGGAGTGCTCGTTACACTTTGCACCGAGTGTCACAAGTCATAGAAAGAACTCTTTGATGACGGGAAATTGGCTGCCCTGGTCTCGCTAGCCACAAGAATGGATCCTAGATTAATAAAGAAAATACAAGTTTATTTTTCTTCACAAGATGCTGGTTACTGAAGGTCCGCAGTTGATCCAATTTCCTGGGGGTATCTAAATTATTTATTCATATACATGACCACAACCTTAAGAGACGCTATGAAATATAGTAGTTTGAGCACTTTTCGGTTTCTAAGCATCACGTTTGCGTTAGGGATACCAAAGGAAGCGGAACTCGGCTTGACTTGGAACTACATGGTTGCTTCAAAACATGAATGCAGCTTTTGTTTGTACTTGATATTCTCATAATTTCCCCGTGGAACATTCGCTGCAAGTTGAAAAAGTCCTTTCACGCTACTTATAATACGTTCTGCAGCGATATGTAGGTAAAGTATTGGGAAGATTGGTCAGTCAGTTCAAACTTTTTATCGTCCTAAAATAAAAGCTCACAGTATGCAGGGAAAAATTTGTTGTGAGTAGGTTAACGTGTTCCAAACCTTCAGATCATTTAGTCAAGCTGTAAGAAAGGAAGTCTAGTTAAGATCAAGCAGTGTTTTTACGAATAACTTTGTTTTTAATGTTTGGGCATCAATCACTGACACGCGTACTCCCTGTTGTAATGATGAATGGTGGGAATACGCAGCAGTCTGAATTTTTGGACTTGTCAGGAATGTCTATGCTAAAGCAGTCTTGTTGTCAAGTTGTATAGGCATGCGATAACCGTTCTCTATTTTATGTTCTTATCAGTGACCTTTATAAATTTTTGAATAGACATTTTTCGATAATACTGAAAGTGTGCTTGCTTCCAGATAGGCGACTACAACAGTTATGTAGCGGACACGTTCAAGATGCCGTACGATCCAGATACGGCTGGCGTTCTAGTGTTGAGTACTCCTGCAATGTTTGATGTCTCATTCAAGAAATGGTTTATCCAAAAGCGTGAAGAGGTGGGAAGAATTCATACTGCTCTTTTTCAATTCAATATTCACTTCTCATATATTCTTGTTCAGTACGGTACGATGGAAGCTGTAGCTGAAAATGTACCACAACCCATCCAGATGTTCGTGGAATCCCGCCTGGAGCCACTTCGCAAGGTTATCATCAAGGAAATTATGAACTATCTGAACAGTGTTGTCTTTAGAAACTTGACGCCGCCAATCTTGAGTATGAGGTTTTTTACGACAGTTCTCTGCATGCAAATCGCAAACCAAAAATACTGCTACAGACTTGCGGGCATGTCTCAGGTATGTATAAAGTTCTTCTTTGATCTTTCAGACATTTTTCATCGTTTAAATTAATGCTTCTAAAACGCAAAATCAATAGGTATCTCAGCTTTATCCAAATCTATCCATTGTCGAACGGTTCCATTATATGTCAAAGTTTTATTCTGTCGGTTGCCAGTAGGGTGGTCCATATGTTCACCATTCTTAACACCACATAAAAACTTTTTAGGAGCGGCATACTATTATTTGCCAGCAAAAGTGAGCGACGAAACCTGGCCTCCGCGTAGTCCTGGTGGGAAAAAGGTGAGCCAGTCATATCCGGTGGTTTTTTAAACATTTACATTTCACTGAGGAAAGGTTCGCCCACATATTCATAAACTTCGACACACGTTCTGATATATTGTTAATCGCTCAAGCATGCTTGCCTTTGGCTTGAAAATGAGTGTATTCTATGTCGTGGAGGATGAAGAACGCCTCCTCGATAGCTTGTCATTGATTATCCGTTTTGCTTCCTCCTCCCCATCGCCCCTGAGAACGGGTTACGAAAACTTTAACACATTCACGACAGGGCCGATTTTTCGCTGACTACCGTTTCGGAGCATATTTCGCAAAATTGAGTTTGCGGAATATTTTCAGGTCACTGATGGGCCCTGTGGTCTGAAGTGTTGATCTTTTGGGAAGTACTCTAAGAGGTGTATACAGAAGTTTACTCGGCTTGTCTAAAAAGTTTCACCGTGAACTAGCAAAATCAAAAACTTCAGAAAGCATACGACCCACCGGTGGGTCGTATTGTCCGAAATGGCAGAATACGTACGACCCACCGGTGGGTCGTATTGCCCGAAATGGCAGAATACGTACGACCCACCGGTGGGTCGTATTGTCCGAAATGGCAGAATACGTACAACCCACCGGTGGGTCGTATTGCCGTGAATGTGTTAAATATAACCTAAAGTACAGAGCTGTGTGAAAGACCTGTTATTATTACTTATAAACATTTTGAACCCCACAAAGCTTTCCCATGGGCGTGCGGCGGCCATGACCCGGAACATGCTCGAGTTTTTTTATAATTATAGCTCCCAAATAATCTCGGTAAGTATTTCAAAATTGCTTCTGGAAGGCAAGGCTAAGGCAACGCTTTTTATCTGGAAAAATTCCGTTGCCCTCTTCCTCCTCTCTCCATAAGAATCTTCTTGATTTTCAATGCTCTGCTGCAAAATTAATCCATTTGACAGTTTGCATTCCAGCAGTTCATCGGCCTCTGTTTGCACCCAATTTATGGAGGCCACTTTGCGTTTCGCGCAGTGTTCCTTTTCCCGAAGCTCCGTCTACCCGGCTACCATGCACCGGAACCTTTGTCGATCTTGAAATCAAAGGAAGAAATTCGTAATGCATTGGAGAGATTCAACTACAGATATTGGGATTCCGGATTCAGGTGAGTAGGCTGGTGCTTTCAATTGCGGAACATAGTAATAGGTTTAACTAAATCTCTCAGACGGTTTCTTAATTTTGCAATCTTTCGCAACTTGTTCTCGTCTTCATCTGGTTCACCAATTTTGGATGTAATATTCTCTTGTCACATAATGACAGTAGACGTTCTTGATTGTGAGGTTCTGTTGAATGCTATTTTCTGTATGGTGATCGAAAATTGAAATCAAATTTTTTTTGTCAGAACAATGTATTAATTGAATGATGTGAATATGGGGTATCTTTTGTGTGCACCGGACCATTTTCCACATTCTCCCAGTTCTATATCCAATCCAACGCGCTCCGTTGTTTTTGCTTTGGTTTTTGTCAAAGACCTGCTCCTACATGGAATGAACAGCACGAACTCAGTTCTAGTCCGGCCACACTGACTTCGAAATTTTTGTTTGCTTTTCCCTTCTTTGTTGTGACACGTGTGTAATTACAGAGACTTCGGCAGTCCTATGAAACGCTACTCCCCGGCGCAGATGAAGTTCTTCGGAATGAAGCCGGCTGATAGATGGGACTTCCTCAAAGAATGGAGTGAAATGCCGTTAGCGGAAAGCGGAGGCCAACAGTAGGCGAAGGAGTAGGCGTATTCTGAAGAATGATGAGCAAGTATTCGATGACTCATTCAATTTATGAGTCATTAATGCTTTGCTCCCTTCTCTATGAGCACCATTTTTAGTCATAGGGTTTTAGTCTCTGTGTTGTGGTTTTCCCACATCCGTTTTTTTGGTCAATCTATTCTGCTCAGAAACACTTATAATCTATTGCATCTTAACTTTTTGTACTTCCTACATTTAATCACTCATTTTTTGAGAATTTTTCGTTTTATCGGCATGCGCATTTATTGTTGGTGCATGAGCTTGTGATGTGATGTGATTAAAAATGTGTGCCTTACTCATTCTTGTCCTCTAGTAGAATTGATCTAGTAACAACCTTTTAGCCGACTGGCATGTCTCTTCTAATAACTTTCATCTTTTTCTAAATTCTTATCACCTGATTTATAATAGTTCATAATAGTCCATTTTTTGTATGTCCGCAATTATTATCTTTCTATTTTAATGGCAAGTAATCAATTTTTTGCTCATCCACTTCCCTCGTCCTTTCTTTTTTCTTTGTGAAAATTTCAAATCCCTCCTTTCTGTCCTCATCCCGTGCTAATGGCGTGCCTGTCGCTTTTTTCAGTCAAAGAGCCCTTCAGCTCTAGTTGTGCATAATGTTTAGTATTAGTCAGTTGAAAAGCCATCTTGTCGTTCCATTCGCATCACATGCGTAGGGCTCGTGCTGTTGGTTTAGTCACGCTAGTCGTTGATTTGTGATACAGTCAGTATTGATGACCATTTCTGCTCAGTCATTATGTGACATAATGTTATGATGCCTGTGGACCAACCATACATGTTGCGCAAAAAAGTTTGTTGTGATATGGGATCAATGTGGTGTTTATCGGTAAAGTCTACTGATTTTGTTCAAGCTCCCTTTTTTGAGGTTTGATGCACTCCTCGAATTATCGTCGTAATTGTTGTGAATTTCATCCATCCCGTGTCACTGTCTTTTGATGAGCGCTATGGGCTACAGTCGATGCAGCCCTGGCACAGGTCCTCTAGCGTTGATGACGGGCCTCTTTTTGCTCAAATACATTTCTATCTAACTTTTGAAAGCTTCACGAAGTTGCTTTTTGGAAATCTACTTCCATTTTTTGTCCTTTCCTTAGTTAAAGTACGTCCGACTGAGATTCCTGCGAAGTCCCAAACAATGATAGGCAGGGATAGAACGAGAAGCTTCTGTGAAACAAACGAATGGAAAACCGATGATACAGGCTGTCTCAAGGATAATGCCGCAGCTTCGGCTCAGATTGTCGCTGTCGCCTCGCTCTGTGCTCGTGTTGCCTTCGCAGAGGTATCTGGACATTTTTCGCGCCAAAGACTGAAGGCCGGCGAACGTGGGAAAATGTCCAAAGGAAGATTTGCGAACGCGGCATTGGGCTCAGGCGAGCATGAATGAGTCGCTGAAGCTGTGAAGCTGTCGTTAAGACAGCCTATACTTTGATAGTGCAAAGAGGGTGAGCGTTCCTGCCTCTGCTGTTGCCCTGGGCATAAGGGGAGACGGCCTTCGGCACTGTCAGCTCGGCAGCCTAATTACTCTAATTTCACGAGTACAAAACGCATGTTTTTCGATTTGTACAAAACGCATGTTTTTCGATTTTTTGAGCGAACAGCTCAGACGCCTCGCTGTGTCTTGGTAAACGAAACTTATATTGCACGATACTCTCAGGCAATACGCAGCTTTGTATAGGGTCCCTTGGTCGCAAAGTCTTTTGACGTGTTTGGGCTGATCGATTCTAGAAAAAGAAATCTCCCGCTCTTGTACTCGTGAATTTAGGACATGCGCCTCTGACTGGTAGGTTGCCGTGGTGATGCGTAAGCGAGGACTGCGTTATGTTCTTGCTTTGAGGGATGCAATCACTAAAACGGATGAGTTGCTTTTTTCGAGTAGCTATCAATGGAACTTGTAATGATTGAAAAATTGTCGATCCTGGAAGTTCTAGTTCTCTCGCCGTGCTTCATGTGGCACCACTCATGACATTCATGAAACCCTAGATCTTCAGTGACATAGAAATACGGCAGACTCAAACATTGATTGTACGCATCAGCGCATTTTTCCATAGATACCGTTGCGAAAATTTCATTCCGCTTCGAGATAGCACGCATGCATGACTTTGCCGGTGGGCAAATTGCTAATAGGTCGTTAAAATCCTGACGCGGATTTGACTGCGGTCTTTGCGCCCACAGGAACAGAAAATACGGGAAACGGCCCTTTTGAACCGCTTGCTATCACCGCGCGCCTCTGATTGGTCAAAATGTCCGCTGCCATAACTCGTTCAATTTTGCACATCTTTCGTGTCCAACATGAATATAGGTTTTGGCATAGGCATATTACATGCTTCAACTAAGAATTTTCCCCGTTGACTGTAAATGCGACTTGTTAGCTTTGCTAGCGGCGCCGCACGCGGCGAAACGAGCATCGCGCGCGAAGGGTTCAAAAGGGCCTGCACCCGAAAATACTCATACCAAAAATGCTCACCTCAACTTTCACCTAAGTCACTTCCAGTGTCTAAACGCTGTCATATGTAAGCAGAAGAACCAGTCGGGTAGAAGTTAAAACCAAGAAAATGCCGTTGCTGGAAGGCGCGTGCGTGTCGCGCACGGTCGCGCCATCGTCACGAGTTTTCGAATGCCCTATAGCTCGTGGAGGGAGCGGTGCGGAAGGGCGGTACACCATCCGCACCGCTCCGTCATACACCTAGTATAGGAGAGGCCACTTCTTGGAAGAAAAAGGCTCGCAACTTCTCTCACAGAAACGCTTTGCAGCTAAGGTAGATCTGAATCAGTGTTGTAAAAGCTACGTATCCATATAAACTCTCCCCAAATGGCATTCTTGACGAATCCGCGATGATAATATGGCATTGTTTAAGTTATGCCATTGTTTCTGCTTCGGAAACGAAGATCAGCGTGCTTTCAGAACCTTGCAAAGCCTGGCTGAGGATCTATCATTCAGCATATCTAGATTTCAAGTGTCAGTGTGCTCTGGATAAGCGCAGCTATTTATGCTGTTTTATTGTACGATGATCCCCATTCTAATTTATAATTCAAGAAACCACACATGTTATAGCTGCGCATCTTAATATCGATTTGCCACATCTTCTCGACAGAATTTCCTTCTCAGATTTTAACGAAAACTTCCACAAATACACAGCATGGGATTTAACCTGCTGCATTTTCCCCTTTTGCTGTCCTCAGAGTCTTCGAGCAAGTATTCTATTCCCACATCGGGCTGAAATGAGTGTGAGCTTCAGAGCGATCATAAATATAGTAGCTAGGTTTTATTTTACGAATGAGCAGGGTGGGTAAAGGATTTGAACGACATTGTTGTGCAAACCAAATGAACGAGGAGGAAGGTTACGATAACTGAGCAATCGAATCCTCGATATGGTATTGAGAATGTTCCAGCTCCGAACTTTGGAGGTGTTGTCTTTGTCGCCCCTCGTCCATCTTGTTGAGCATGAGATCCTAAGGGCTTCGATTGTCCATCTCTCTACGCCCTACAAGATTTTAGGACTCAAATGGTGCTCTCCAACATTATCATTCAGTACATTCAGGACTGATGAAGAAGGGAAAAAGATGTCCTTGACGGGAAGCTGCAGAGCGAAGTTTGCATGGACAGAATTCGTTAAATACCAGATTCCACTTCTACTTTTCCGTCGCCACGCCACCTTTCATGCTCTACTTTCGTGAAGAGTTAACACTGGGAACATGGGGAAAAGAATGGTCTAGGGACCGCGGAGCTTTGCTTAATGAAAGATGGTGCTGATATCTCAGCAATTTCATTTTCAGCATGCTTCAAAGGCATCGTACTCAAAGTGGGGGTTGAGAGTTTATGATTGCATACTAGTGTGGGCCTCCATACTAGGCAACCCCCCCCCCCCCCAAGTTGCGCTGCAAAAGATTGCTTCCAGAGCGAGAAATCCGTACCGGAAGGAACAAATCTGAAGGTGGTCACTTCAGCAGCTGGTCGCCCCGTCCACTTTGCAGCTTTTCCTCGCCTGCGCTTGTTGCAGTGGGTTCTCCAATACGGGGATTTTCGGGGGTTTCGCGGATTCTCTACTCCATTTTCGAAATCAGGGCCTGGAAGTCGAAAATTTGGGTAGCGGTGCCTTTGAATCACCGCTTTCTAAAGCGAAAGTAGTGAGCGAATCTGAATGAGAAGTTCGTCAGCGCACTTAAGAAATAAGAAAGTTCTTAATGCCCCTCCCCCTCCGACTAAGGCTGAATTGCACTGCTAGTATTTAGCATTATTGCAATCATGGCGTTCTGGAAGGTGGAAGGTGAGGGGGCGGGCGCAACTCGTATGTACCCTATTCAACGGGATTGGTGGCTGAAAGGCAGGATTTCGAGGCCTAATGAGGGCCTAGGGAATGATCAAAGCACGCTCGCGAGAGAGACGCGACTGCGTTGCGAGTGCAAGCGGTCTCTTAGCCGCCAATCCCATTGAATCAAAAGGTATTTTGAAGTGCGCAGTTAACGTCCTTTTAACTACAGATTGCTATAGTTTTGGGGAACTCCGAAAAACTGGAACTGGTTTCGGAAAATCATGGTTGTCAGGATTCGGGGGGCAGCCAACATGGAGTAGGTAGTGCCAGCCATATGCGCTGCGTAGGTCAAATCCTTTTCAAATTCCATATTTACGCTATAGTGTTATCTAGAAGCTTGGAAAAAGCGCTGGAAGCTCATATGCCCTAATTCTTACTGTTCGACACCATTTTCGATCCAGTGAAGAACATATAGCTTCATAAAATAAGACTTTATGTGCGACATGCTGACAACCGCAGGAGTACAGGATGCTCATTGCCAGCTATCGTTCATCTTGGCACACCCCAGGATTCGCCACTTCCGCCTTTTGAAAGTTTCGGAGTTGTAAATGTGTTAGGGAGCTCATCTTATATATTCTTTGGAGAGGGCGAACGCCGCGCTTTTTCTACTCGATTTTGTCGTTCCTTCCACCGCCCCCACCCCCTCCCCGCGAGAGAATGAAAAAATTTCCTCTAGCCGCGTTGGCTCATTGGCGAATTTTGCAACCTATATGAAAAGTGAAAAAGCATTTGAAGTTGTTTTCAAACAGCAGTTTTTATTATATTGATTCTGATTTAGTGAGCATAATATTGAGTGACAAAAGTTTTTTTACGTGTTACCGCCAATGAGCGCCTAGAAAGTGAGTGAAGCATTAATTGATAGGGCTATCGGGCTACCAGATGACTGCTAAACACCCTTTCATATCGAGGTCCATTCAAGTCTAAGCAGCATTTTGAAAGCATTTAATCGCAAAAATGAATAATTCTACAAACCTTGCACTTGGTCGCCATTGTGTACACACATAGTAACAACGATCATGACAAAATCTGCTGAATTTTTTGCGGTCAAAATAAGAAACAATAATTCGGTCACACGGAAATGCCACCTTTTCGATTTTTGTGCTGAAATTTGTAGTTTCTCAAAAATCCGTATGTACAGGCTATCTCAATTGCAGTGTCGGGCGCATCAGCAGCTCGAGTCCCACGCGGCCGCCTCACTAGGGCCTGCGCCGCATTTGCGCATGTGTCGTCTGATCATTTCAGAGCGCTGAGCGTGGAAAAGGCCTAGAAATGAGCTTCATCAATTGTTGATCACACTGTGCCTGTTTGAGATAGGCTGGAGAAGATCACAAATCTAGTTGTACTTCAATAGTTTGTATAAAATTGCTTATATGAAAACTGCTTTGGGAAGATCATGCCGTTTTTCGTTTTCATAATTTCTTCCACCGAAACAAACACTGATAGTGAGTGTACCCATAACTGTTGGCATGCGATTACTATACAGCAGTGGCGGACAGTGGGGAGGGGAAAACAATGGGTCGCGGAATTTTCAGATGTTACTTAG